CCCCCCAAAAATCCTTGCCTATTGAATTGAGGGCATAGAATTCAGAATGCTAAGCTGATGAACAGCAATTAAATTTTGGTTTAGCTTCACTATTCGGTATGAGTGTCTGTGATTTAATTGCTCCATGCTAATCTAAGCTTGATTTTTGACAGACTAAATATTTTTAAGAGATTTTTCTTTTCCACTCATTGAAGCATTTCACAATAACTAAGAATTTATTTTCACATCTTTCCTAGACAGGAGGCTATTCTGACACTTTTTTTTTAGACATGGCAAATTAATTCACAGAGATACTACAATTTAAAAAATTAAAGCATTTGGTATTAGTGATTATTTGTCATTAAATGTTTTGTTGTCAAATCTGAGATGCGTGTGATTTGGTATTCTGTAGAACTGTTTGGTCATATGTAGATTGAGTAGCGACATACATGCAGGTTTGTAACAGGAGATCTCTACAGTCTGATCCTTCACATGCTCATTATGTAGAAACAGAACAGGCTTTTGCTACAGGCTGGCAGCAGAAAATGTCTACATTTTTATTTTGTTATCATAAGCTTTCTAGAACCAGTTGCTTTTGTAGCTGTAGTGTAAAACAGAGAAGGTAAACTGGGAGAGAAAAAGAAGCTTTCAACTCTGGCACCACTGCAAACAAGTCTTTTAGTTTTACCTGCAGTTTTACCTCTGATTCTTTAAAGCTGTCTTGGTGGTGGTGTCTCCTGACTTTTGCTGCTGTTGCTTTTGTCACTGTAATGTAAATATTCCCTATAGCTGCTAGAGTATCTCAGCCTGGTTTTCAAATATGAGTCTGGTTTAATCAGATTTGATTGAAAAATAAGAAGTGTTCTATTACTAGAAAGTGTATTTAATGGATATCGGAAGTTTAAGAATTTCCTTTTGTATTAATTGTTGAAGAATTCTAATGTCCCTGGAAAGGACTGTTAAATTCTGAACTTCAGAAAAAGAGCTTTCTGTAATCTCAAGAACCACAAATGCTGTACATTAGCAATGGAGTGCTGACAGTGGAGCAGTAGTAATATCTGTCAGTTAAGTAGGTAATCTTGGAAAACAAGATGAAATAGAATGAACCAAATTATTAAAAAAAAGCAGAGGAAAAACTTTAGAATACTTTAGGAGGTGTATTACTAGTATATGCTAGCACTGATTTTTAAAAAACAAACAAACAAACAAAGACTTGGCACTACAAGACTTTTTCCTGTTTTTAAGGTATGGCATTATACATGCTGGTGGTATAGGAAAGTACATCAGTGATTGGATCCTTGAGGGGGAACCTGCATTTGACCTGATAGAATTAGATCCAAACCGATATGGAAAGTGGACCACCACAGAATACACAGCAGCCAAAGCAAGAGAATCTTATGGTTTTAATAACATTGGTAAGAAGGTCTTTTTTAAAATGCATTTATATCCTGAAAATGGATTCCAACAAAGTCTGCCTCTAGATTTCTCTGCTTATATATATGTATTAATGTATATTCTATCTTGGAGGTGTACACGATTTAGTATGCCATCGTTTTTGGTTTTTGTTTGATTTTTTTCCTTTTTTGTTTTTTCTCCCTTTAGTTGGTTACCCTAAAGAAGAAAGATTTGCTGGGAGACCAACAGAGAGAACCAGTGGGCTGTATGATTTGCTGAAATCAAAATGTTCAATGGGCTTTCATGCAGGATGGGAGCAACCTCACTGGTTCTACAAACTTGGAGATGAGACTGGATACAAGTAAATAAAAGATTACTCGCCCCCACAACTCCCAGATACATTGTCATGACAGCAAGGGCCAGCTGAGTTAAATTAAGTAAAAAGCATACATTTATCATTCATTTCAGCTAAAGGTAGATACTCCATTATTGGTTTTTCTATAGTTTAGAATCCATTTCATTCTGATAATGCATACATTTCAAAACACACATTGAGGTATCCTGTAAGTCTTATAGGTATGGTGTATCAGGCAGCAGCCTAGCTCAAGGAGAAGATTAGACAACAAGTTGTTCATTATGAATTTGTATTTTTCTCCCTTTCTTATTATTTGATTGGCACCACAGTATAATGTTTTCATGAAAAAGCTGTTTCCTCTCTCTATAATTCTGAGGGATGGAGAAGCCCAATTCTTCTTTCTGTTTTGTTTTTTGTTGTTGTTGTTGTTTTTGTTTTTTCTGTGCCTGCCTACCTACTTACCTGCTTGCATCAGGGAACATCCAGCAAATAAATGTTTTCCACAGAGATACTGGAATCCCAATCTAAATGAGGCTTATAAAGAAATAGAGTCTCACACACTGCTGTTCAGAAATAAAGCCCTTAACACCTTAAACTCAAATAAATGATTCAGCAACAACGTATGCTGTAAATTTACACATGACAGACTACTGCTTCTTCTAAAATTTGAACAGTTCACTGTTTATTGTACAAAATTATTGATAAAATATCAACCCATATCCCTCTCTGTTGTTAAAGGATTTTAATAATTAAGCTGCGTTAGACCAAGGAAAATCTTGAGTAAGCTACCTACAGTTAGGAAAGTCTGTCTCTTTTGAATGATTATTAAACTGCAGAAACTGAAGACTACTTTTTGCTGAAAAGAGCACAAAATTTCCAAATTGTGTTTTTTATGTGTAAATGCTCTGTTTCAGACCCAGTTTTCGCCGCACAAATTGGTTTGACCCTGTGGGTCGTGAGTATAAGCAGGTTATGGAAAAAGTTGGTGTGATTGACCTGTCACCATTTGGCAAGTTTAAAGTAAAAGGCACAGATTCTGTTAAGCTGCTGGATCATCTATTTGCAAATGTTGTTCCAAAGGTAAATGGGACAGTGATAACTGTTTTAATGCTGTATTTAGACAAACAAGATCTGTTTCAGGAAAGGAAAATGAAGCATAATAATTTTGTCATATCTTTCAGAAAACAAATACAGAGATCCTTTGGAGAAACTGCTGTGTCAGGAGATGTATTTCAGTTAGTTAAGAGCATGGACAGTGCAGTTTATACTAGAGTAGCCCCATGTAGAAGTACCTCTTGACACAAATCATTGAATCATAGAGTGGTTGAGGTTGGAAGGGACCTCTGGAGATCACCTTGTCCAACCCTGTGTTCAAGCAGATCACCTGGAGCTCATTGCCCAGAACTATGTCCAATTGACTTTTAAATATCTCCAAGGATGGAGTGAGACTCCACCAGCTCTCTGGGAAACCTGTTCCTGTGCTTAGTCACCTTTACACTAAAAAGGTGTTCTGTTGAAATACAGAACCTTCTGTGTTTCAAACCTTTGTCTAAAGAAGTCCAAGTGCATCTCACCTGGAATTCTTTTATGGTAGCACTAGGATAGCTTCGCAGCTGCCTGCCTAAGACTGCACTGTACTGTAGCAGATTCAGGCAGCAGAAGAGAGCACTGGGAGGTGCTCTTGCCTGACCATAGCTGGATGTTTTACTCTTTCTGGATTCTCAAGGGAACAGTTTTGGTTTGGTTTGGTTTGTTTTTTAAATGTGACCCATGCTCACCACCCTACACCCTCCTCATGCTGCCTCTGTTTTACAGCTGTCTGCCTGAAGCAGGCAGGGCTGCAAATGTTCAGGATATTCAGCTTTCAGCTCACACCTATCCTTTCTCCGTAAGTTTGGCTGTTCACAGATCCTCATTATGATCCTATTTTTAAAAATGGCAGACTGTGACAAATTAGCCCAGGTTTATTATTCTTGCCTCAGTTTATGGTAGTGCTCCATGAGTCTCTTTGTTTTCTTGCTTTGTCAGTCACTCTCATCTGGTGTTTTTAGTTTCAGAGATAGACCTCCAGAAGGCAGATTGTTCCTTTCCAAAGTGCTGCAGCCATAGAGGTTGCTTATTTCAGCACTTAATTTCATTAAGTTTTTGCTGTAGGTCATGGTTTTAGACAACTTTTTGTAGGGAAACAGTAGGTACACTGAGACTGTAGTTATGAAGGTAGATAACTTCTTGGAGGCCAGAGCCAATGAAATGGGAAGGTTGTAAACAAGAATGGTGTCCTTTAGGTTTAGGAGAAAGAAGAGCCTGAATTGCGATGTAATTTTTTTTTTACTGTATTAATTTATGATAGCAATATAGATTAAAAGTTTGTCTTCTTTCTCACTTGGGATGGAGGTGGGGTAACTGTCATCAGTGGGCATGAATAATACTTGCTGAATATATGTATGTGGTGGTAGTAAAACAAGATTAAACAGGAAATTATGAGAACAAAATGAGTGCCTTCTATGGCATTTAAGCAGTGTTGCTAAGGGGAAAAGAATGATAGTGAAATAGAATGCTTTATGGGTCCACTTAAAATGGAGCATTCACACAGTTGATTATTTAAGCTGTCTGATTTTTGCTTGTCTGCATTGTAAAATAATTCAGTGAAATTACTGGAGATGTATCACAACCAGGTTGAGTGTGACTGCCATCAGATCCTGAACATTCAGTTATGTCCCTGTAATATGCCAGTAACTATAATGATGTAATATGACCTTACCAAAGAATGCTAGTATCTGCAATATTTTTCTTTTTTCCATTCATTGTTTGGAGTCTGGACACTGACTGGGTGATTGACAAAGTTCTTATGAAAACAGAATAAAGTAAGAGAGATTAAATTCTGCCTTTGCAACAGCTATGAGACGTTCCTATTCTGTTTGTATGGATGATGTCTATATGAAAGTGTATATATTTTATGGTCACAGCTAAGGAACAGTTAATTGAAAGTTTGCCTCTATAGTTCAAGTTTCTATACAAAACTTGATTGAAATGTGCAGAGATGGATGTAGATTAGTAGTCAGCAACTACATAAAATATACAAGCATACATAAATTAGGGCCACAGAAGCATAAGCCAGCTCAGTATTTATTTCTTTAAAGGGGCAAAGTAATGTTATCCTTCTGGGATCTGAAAGCCTTATTTATATGATTGGAAAATAATATTTGTGTCAATAACACAAAGAATTTTTTATTCTGATAATCAAAGAACAAACAAAAATTAACGGAATTTGCATTCAAAATGCATTCTTAAATGTAGCTTAAGAACACCTTGTGTAATACACAATTAACAAATATTTATAAAGGTCTTGCTTTATCTAATTTCAAAAATTTCACATTTTTCTGTGAAGAAAAATGTGAAATTTCCACTGTAAAGCTTAAGCTTGGCTGATTGTGCATCTGTCTGCTCCTATTATGGCATAGCAGAACAAACATAAATGTGTTGTTCTTTTGTGTAAAGGCATATTTGCATATATTTCATAATGTTTTATTTTACATTCTTAATAATTGCAAATTTTACTCTGTAGGTAGGTTCCACTAATATAAGCCATATGTTAACACCAAGAGGAAAAGTTTATGCTGAGCTAACAGTCTCTCAACTGTGTCCTGGAGAATTTATGCTTGTAACTGGCTCGGGATCAGAACTCCATGATCTGAGGTTAGTTTATTTTTGATACAGTAAGTACACAGTGCTATACAGTCACATTAATATAGTAACCTTTTTACTGAATTCCAAATTCTTAATTATTACTCAACAAACCTTTTGCTAGGTTCAAGAGAATTCTAGTTATTTATTGATTTTTGTTTCTTAGAAACCTGGTTGAGTTGAATCCTAAAGTATACGTAGTTGCATATTGGATTATTGTTGATGTAAAAATGGAGAATTTACTGATAGTTATGTAATATACTTTAATGGAGGTAGTTCTTGTTTTGTTGTTGAACCTGTTCATGTTTGGCATTGTATGACGCAAAAAAAGAAAATTGGCTTTAAACATGGATGACCCCACAGGCATTGACCTGGCTAATACAGTTGGGTAGTGCAGTCTTCCTGATACTGTGATAACATCTCCTTTGGGGTCTGGGGTCACAAAGAACAGAAAGAAAGGAGGTAGAAGCAGTTTGCAGGATGACTTTATTAAAATGCTTTTCATAGATAAGCATGAGAGATGACACTTCTAGTCCTGAAGAATTTTTCTTACTGGAGATTGCTGACAAATCAGTTATTCAACATGAATCAACACATTAAAGACTGAAATTTGCTATGAATAATGATGAATAATGTACTGGAATCATTAGTACCATTGGCTTATTCAGGAACAGAATAGCAGAACCGAACTTAACACATTTACTTCTACAGAATTTCACCAGTCCTGTTTCGTACTCCCCTGTGCATGAGATCTTTTGAAACAGTTTAACAAAGCAGTACTTTATAAGATTTTTAAATATACTCCTTCCATTTATTTTGTGAATTTCCTGAAAGGCAATACCCCACTGATGTTTTTAATTGAATCAAAACTTAAAACTGAACTTCCTGCCAATACTTTAAATACTGGTAGGAACAAGCCTGGTTGTATATTTCTGTTGACAGAGGAATTGATTTCGAAATTTCTTATGTTCATTGTGTTTATTGCTTACTCTTTTTGTATGCTGACTTTATTAATATGTTCTGGACGCAAAGGCAAAACTGTATTCAGTTCTATGAGATAACTTATTTCTCTTATATTGAAAATTCTGTTCCACTCCTGTCAATTCTCTCCTTTCCTGGCTGTATCCCGAATGCCTGTGTTCCTATACCAGTATCTCACAGATTGGACTATTTAGTGCAGCACATACTTCACTGGTTTTGAGAAGGTGTGGGACTGAGTGCTTCTGGGAAGATGAACACTAATTAAAAAACTATTCCTTTTTAACCTTTATCTAAATCAGTTATTTTTCATAAAAATATAACACCACTGTTGTGTTTTACATGCAGATGGATAGAAGAGGAAGTAACAAGGGGTGGATACAAAGTTGAAATAGAAAACATGACAGATGAGATGGGAGTGCTTGGTGTAGCGGGTCCATATGCCCGACAGATCCTGCAGAAGTTGACAAATGAGGATCTGAGTGACAGTTCATTTAAGTTTCTCCAGTCTAGACATCTGAAACTTTCTGATATTGCTGTTACTGCCATTAGGATATCATACACAGGTAAGCAATAGAGAAAACAGACTCTTAAAAAAAGAGGCAATAGTAAGTGTAACTAAAATTTTATTGAAAAATAAATCTCTTCATGTATACATAAACAATCACATTTTATATATAAATGTGTGAGGAAGTGCAGCACATTGCTTTTCAGATGTGATCTGGTCAGGGTCTGTACTGAGTTTTCCAAGACTTTTTTTCTCTAAAATACCCTATAGTGTAAATATTTATTTTACAGAACAGAAGGCCAGTTCTGATAACCTCTGTGGTATTTGCTGCAAAACCAACGTCAAGAATTGTTTTTGTATTACTGCATATTAGTATTTGTCAAGTACCTTGAAAATGTAATGCTGTAATGCTGAGTATCTATTTTTTCAGTTACTTTTAATTTTTATTTATTTTTATGTCTGTTTCTACTGCAATGGCGTGGGTTCACGCCATTCCGAAGCAGCTGAAGTCCTCCTTTTTTTGTTGTACTCAGTAGGATACAATATACTCTTTTTATGCTTATTTACACTCAGTTACATTTGCTGTTCACTTACCAATTCATCTTCTCTTTATGCTTAAGCTTAAGCTTCATCTGGGCTTAAGCTTCATCTTTCATTGTGACTTCACTGCATGGCTGTCCTGATTTTACTGGAGGAGAATCAGTTTTATCTTCAAGAAAGCTACATTTCTGCAAAGCCTACACTAGTAGATTTAGTGGAAGCAAAGTTGATAAGACATTCTGGTTTAGTTTTCAGCCATCACTGGTATACAGTGATCAAGGTCCTTAGCAGTTTTGAGTTAAACAAGTGCGGAAGCTGGGGAAAGAGAAAGTCAGGGCAGTGGACCCAAGCTGACCAACAGAATTAGTCCATACCATAAACATCCTGCTCACTGTAAAATGAGGAGTTTGCTGGCGATGGCTCTCTTTCCTTAGTGGCTGTCATCCCAGGAGGGTCTCACCTATCCTACTTCCAAGGCCTACTCCCCTGCTCATTGTGACCATTGCGACCACTATATCAGCTGAGTATAACTCTGTGTAGTTTATATTAATACTGTTATTCATAGTGGGGTTTTGTTATGTTATTAAGTCTGTTTATATTTCAACCCACTGGTCTTCTTTCCTTTTCCTGGTTCCCCTTCCCAGTTAGAGAGGAGTTATCAGGGTATAGAACAACTGTCTATAAACAGCAACAATTACCTTTTCTTATCAGTTATTCTGATTCCCTGATCCCCCTCACCCCAATTGCAGTTAACAGTTTGAATTATGATAATAGTACCACAGTTTAAGGTCTAGGGCATAGAGCATCTGGTGGTTTTTGTAGGGAATTAGACTTGGTGTGTGATAGCAGAATTGACCATATAATGTGAATTAACAATTACTGATCACTACTTTTTACCAAGAACAGGCCTATATTTATTAGGATTGTTTCATTGTTGAGCTGATGAAACTGTTAATCTTGTTTGTATAACAGGTGAATTGGGCTGGGAGCTCTATCATAGAAAAGAAGATTCTGTAGCTCTTTACTATGCAATCATGGAAGCTGGCCAAAAAGAGGGAATTGACAACTTTGGAACATATGCTCTGAATGCTTTAAGGCTGGAAAAGGGTTTCCGAGCCTGGGGGGCAGAGGTCAGGAAATATGACTCCTTTCTTATTCTTTCTGTTTATTTTCTTTCTTTTACTAAAACTATACAGCTTTTAGTCAGATATAGCTCAGATAGTTTTTATTTCAGTTTCTTAATTTAGCATGAAAAGAAAATCTACCTTAAGCAGGAAAATCTACTGTAATTCTGAACAGTATCTTTTCTAAATAAAAATAACTAGTATATTCCATAGCACTGCTGGCAAAGAGACACTTAGTTAGATTCACTAATGTTTTCCCTCTTGTGCATAACAAAATTATGAGGGTTTTGCTGAACTCTAGGGTTTTGAAATCAAAGGTTTGGCTGATAGATCCTGAAAATGTTTTATTTCTCTCATTGTGTCTTGAGAGGCCGATTTTTCTTGCTTCATAATGTATTTGGAACTTTTTCATTTCTCATTAGCTTGTTTCTGCCAAATTTGCTCATTTACCATATAGAACTACTCAGGGGAGCTAGAGAATTTGAGGGAAATCAGTATTATTTCTGCTTACCAAAATTTTTTCTTAATTCATTTAGAAGGGAAAGAACTCAAGAACGTGAAATTATTGGCATTTAGGGGTCCTTTTCATTTGCCCAGTGATTGGTATTTTCATTCTTGCTTCAAATGCTGCCTAACATATCATTCCCCCTACATCTAATGAGAAGGTGGTAAACAAAATTGGCTTTGTATTTTATTTTCCTCTCCAGCTAAAGTATTCTGCTATGTTGCAATTAATGTGTATACCGCTGTTGTTCAATGTTCTGCAGGTTCCATTCTTGAATGAAAAGTCTTGTTTCTTACTGAAATGTGCATTTACTCTGCATATTGAAACTTAGATGAATGATTTACCTATCTGTATTTTGTATTGGGCATAGTAGTAGACATTCTATTGAAATCTCATATAGGAAGCATATACTGTATTCAAATAGAAATTGCACATATGCAACAAGGAGGACATTGACCCAGGAGTAAATAGAAGACTGCATGGAATAACTAAATAAATACACCCCACCCCCCAAACCAAAAGCTATGATAGTCTATCAGGTATGGATGGCAATTTTTTTTATTTTTTTTTAACAGATGAACTGCGACAGTAATCCTTTGGAAGCAGGACTGGAATACTTTGTAAAGCTAAACAAGGTATGGCTTATTATTTTCAAAGTGTTCTATTATGCCCAAGGTTATTCCTTTAAGTGTTTGAAAAGAAAAATATAATTATCTGTGAAATAAAATAGGTTTAGAAAATGAGCTTAACAACTTTCTTCCACTGACCATAAGAATAATTATTAAGTACCAATTTAAAAAAAACCCATACTTTTCCATGTTTCTTGCAAACAAAATTATACATTAGGGCAGAAAGTTGCAAATACTCGATGTTGTCTACATGAAAAATTAAACCCAAATGAAACCCAAATGCAGTGTCATAACTGTCAGCTTTCCATGAAACCTGGTAAAATTGTTTCCTGTGCAGCTCTAATGATTGTCTGTTGCTACCAGTTAGCCCATTAACTCACAGTTAGTTGCCTGCACAGTGGATGTGAAGTTTCTAATGTAGAAAATGAGGTCCTGTACATTTCAAGTTAGGTCCCCTGAATGAAGGGCTATTTCTGACTTTAATTTCAAACTTCAAGTTACCTCTTCAAATAAACAACAAATCTTAAACTTTGAGTAGGCAAGAATTATGGAGGCATGTTAAACCTGAAAAAGTACTTATATCTTCATGAGGTAATTTCACCAACAATAACAGGGATGAACCCAGGAAGATGCTTTTCCTCTCCAGCTGCTGACACTGTCTGTAGATACTAAAGTTCTTCAACCTGTGCAGGATTAATAAAATATTCATTTTTTTTTGTTCTAATCTAACATCAGTGTGTGCCCTGGCATGAAATAAAAGTTCTAAACTTGTGCTTGCCCGACTATGGAGCTTATCCACTGGAAGGCAAGATGCTTTCAGGGATGTCAATGACAGTTCCTACATGTAGTGAAGTTACAGTTGTCTCCACTGGTTACTGTACTTTTGCCCTAATCAGAGTAAATGGCACTTGCAATGGAAATATAGTACCTTAAGGAACAGGTTTGTGTTGTATTTACTCACCAAGGACTTTCCCATCTGGAAGAGAGCATTGTCAGAATTATGGGAGAATGTAATGGGAAAATGTTGCTGTAACTTTTTTTCCTAGTTCCATTTGATACATCCTTTGTTTCTTTGTTTGTTTGTTTTTCTTTTAGTATAAGCTGGGAAAGTTGTTGCTTGCCAAGATGCCCATGCAAACCATGCAAAGGCACTACTGTGCATGAAGCACTTGATTCTTTATAACTTTTCAGCCATGCAGAGAAGTGTGCAATGCAGGGTTGGAACAGCTCTCTCAAGCAGATATTCACATTGTAGATGAATGGCATGGAACGAATCTCCAGCATAGATGCAGGATGTCAGCTTAAAACATTTGCCAGTTATGCTGAACTAATGTGAAAAAGGAAGTAATTGATGTTTGTTTATTGACTCAAACAAGGGCAGTTGTGACTGTATGTTGACACTGCAGAAGTAGCTGAGCTAACTCAGATATTGAAAGTGGTATAAACACTGTAGCATGAAGCACAGTGTGAGATTATTTACTCTGCTTCTTGGCAGCTTGGGGCTGTGAGTCCCAGTTCCATGCCTCTGCTTCTGGTGTCTGTTTGGCATGGCGTAGACCTCAGCATTCCCTAGCGGCCACTGTGACCAAAGACAGACAAAATACGTTGTTATCATCTGCTCCTATTGTTAAGGAAACTTTCTGAGAAAAAAGGCAAATGGTATACAAGCAACAGATACTTAAATCTGTTTGACATCTTGGTTTGTAGGGTTACTGACACAGATTGTTCCTTTAAGCATGTGCCCCCAACTGGGGAAGGTGCTGATTTCTGTATAAATTAAAACCAAAATGCACTGCTCAGTTAATTACTAACTTGCTTCTTACCGTGCAACAGGGAGCTGAAATAGTTCACGAAATGGGTAAAAAGGGCTCGACTTCAGTGAATTTCGACTGGTATGTAATGGGAAATGTAAACAGTTTCTAAACAGAGTAAAGTGAATGAACAACTAAATGCCAGTGAAGGAAATATGATCATTTTAATTTCAATGAGAGAGCTTTCAGATATCTGGGCAATAGTTGTAAATTCCCATTAAAATGGGCAAAATCCTGGTATTTCTCTGTGTTTACTAAGTTTAGTGTATGCATCATCTTCAGGTACATATGGACTAGTAATTTTTTGTGAAAAATTACACAAGAGAAACTCTTAAAAGCATAAGTTGACATTTTTGACAGTCAAATTATAATTCATTATAATTAAAAAATTATAAATTATAGCATGACAGTAAGTAAACCTGTTTCCTCAGGATTCCTTCAGCAACTTTCATTTTATCATTGAGGCTGAACAGATTATATTAATCTAGGTGGTTTCCTCTAGACCCCAGCTTGATACTACTTTTTTTTCTTTAATGTTGGTGATAGTTGCTCCCTTGTACAGAAAAGCAGGATCAGCTGTGATTAAACCAAAGTGGAGGAACAGTAACAGAATAAATTTCTAATTTAGAGTGTACATGGTCTTCATAACTTCACAACAAAATGTGTCTGGTTTAGGGGTGGTTTGTTGTTTTGGTTTTGTTGTCTTTCTTTTGTTTGTTCATTTAGTAGGTTAGATAAGTTTTTAGTTAGCCTCGTTCACTAATACTTTCATCTTAAGCACTCTGCTACTAAATATCAATAGAATTCTAATGGTCATTGTGGCAGGAAATTCACAGAATATATTTTAAAAAGGAAAAGTTGCAGTTCTGTTTTCTCCATATCCCAGAATATTGTTTTAGTTCTGCTGCAAATTTCAAGCTTCTCAGGTTCAAGTGGTCAAAGATACAAACTTATTACTTCTTAATGCTTTCTATTTTTCAAAACCTTTGTTTAAATTTAATGGCTTTTTGATACATTGTCATAGAAAAAGATAAGCAATCACCAGATATTAATTTACCGTGGACTTTTGTTCTATGGCAGAATCCAGAATCCACCATATCTGTGTTTATCTTGCCATATGTATAAAAATATCATGTATGAAATTACAAAGACCTCTCAGTCCTGAAGGTCCCACTTTCTGCCTAGGCAGTCCATTCTAATAATTTGCTATGCTTATGTTAGAAAATGTTTTCTTGCTACTCTTTAAACTTATCACTGATTATTATGTTCACTACTGACATAAAGAAAAAAATATTTCCTTCTTTCAGAAGCTGCTTGCATCTTCCAAAACCTCCTAGCATGCACCTTTTTTGGAGTTCTGAAGTGGGTGATTATTTTTAGCTAATTGAGTATTCTTAAAACAGTCCTATTTTTCTCCTAAAGGTAATGGACCATAAGTCCCAATAAAATGTGGTGTTAGAATGAAACACCTCCATATCAGTTTGGGTAGCTCACAGAAATTAACTCTTTCAGAAGAGTTTTTCATATGAACACAATAGTGCCAACAGTCATTAAGAGCATACAGCTACAAAATTCCAAAGGTGAACTGTCTGTAGGTTTGTGACTTGTTTTGCTGTATCCAAGACTGCCATCTCCTGGGCACTCCCTTTGCAGCAGCAGCTCACTGCGATTTGCGAAGAGAATGTGGTAGATGGCAGAAACCCTGTGGGACTCTGCTCTAGTGCCGTCTTTTCAGGCTGGGATCTGAGTGCTTAGCTAAGATGCAGTGTGGTTTTTTTTCCACTAGGAGGAAATACCAGTATCAGAAACAGTGTTTCTTTGTTGCAGCACTTTTTATTTACTGGGGCAGTGTCTTTGTTCTCAATTCCGAGCTTTTTTCCAGATTATGCAATACGCAGAATCTCTCTTCTTTCATGTTTTCTTAGGTCTACTATACCAGCACCTTTTTGTACCAGCTTTGTTTTCTGCTCTTTTCCCTGTCTGCTTCCCACTGTATACATCTTACCTCTACCACTACTCAGTGACTGCCTGCATTTCAGTGTCAAAAATCCCTTTCAGACTACAAGCCCTACCTCATCTTCTGACTTCACATTGGATTTCTGAGGTGTCTTTTACTATTACACCTATTAGAGACATAAACATTTAATTGCTTTCTTATTCATTATGAATAGGAGTTATATCATGCCCAGCAACTTCACATAGAGGTGTGTATGACTATAAATCAGAGATACAGTACTTGTGTATTGACCTAACCTCCAGCATAACTACATGTAAGTTATCTCATGGGAAAGAAACTGCTAGGATGAGCAGTTGTAAGACTGTGTCTCCATCCTTTTATTCCTTTGGTAGCAGTTTAATCTTACAGGTTCATGTCCTCCTCTTTCCAGTCATTTGTTTCCCACCTGTTCACTCTGTGAGAACTGTCCCACAGTTGTGTCAGTACAACTCACTGTGTTTATGCTCATAGTCTAAAATGATATGTCCTGATTTATTAAAGCACAAAATTATAAATTAGGGAAAAGGCTTTTTCATCATTGCACAGATATGGTTTGGAGAAAGAACACAAAAATGTTTAACTGACGCATTTGATCTCTTTATCAATGATGTGGATGAAGGGATTGAGTGCACTCTCAGTAAGTTTGCAGATGACACCAAGTTGGGTGGGAGTGTTGATCTGCCTGAGGGTAGGAAGGGTCTGCAGAGGAATCTGGACAGGCTGGATCGATGGGCCCGAGGCCAATTGCATGAGATTCAACAAGGCCAAGTGCTGGGTCCTGCACTTGGGTCACAACAAACCAATGCAGCCCTACAGGCTTGGGGAAGAATGACTGGAAAGATGCCAGGCAGAAAAGGACCTGGGAGTGCTGGTCAACAGCTGACTGAACATGAGCCAGCAGTGTGCCCAGATGGCCAAAAAGGCAAATGGCATCTTGGCCTGTATCAGAAATAGTGTGGGCAGCAGGACTAAGGGACTGATTGTGCCCCTGTACTTGGCACTGGTGAAGCTGCACCTTGAATATTTGAAATGGTGGGAGAGTACTTTTCTTTTCCCCCTCTCAGTCCCCATTTGTTATGCCTATAACATTCAGTGTACTTTTCCACCTAAATCCTGTCCCCATCCACTGATTGGTGGAACCATATTGTGTGGTTACTTTATTTGATGGCCAGAGGGTCAAAAAACAGAGGATTTATTCC